TAGTCACCCCCCATCCCTGCCTCTCCCCCCCCCTGGCATCCCAAGCGCGGCCGCAGCCGCAGCCGCGGCAGGAGAAGGGGAACCATCGTGAACAAATCGCGGCAGGTTCCCCGCCCCGGCCATGGCCATGGCGACAGGGAACAGATACACTGCGGAAACATCACGTTAATTCTCCATTCCAAGGTGATCGTTTCCTGTTTCATTGTTTTGCTGATCGGCGTGGACCCTCACACCCAGAAGGGAGAAAACACACAGACACAATGAATCGTCGACTCCCAGGAAAGTATAGGAAAATATGGGAAGTGGGGGGGGAAGACGAAAACTCAGAAATTTATCAGAAAATCTAGGACTGTTTGGGATTAGTGTGTATATATATATATACATATATATATATGTGTGTGTGTGTGTGTCCTTGGGCCCCTTCCCCCCGCCAATGGAGTATATCTCGGCTGTTTTTGAAGCCTGTTTCGAGCAGGTGGGTCTCCTCCATAATACACGCGCGCCCTGTTGCAAAGAGTCGCGCTGAGCAGAGGTCCAGAGCCAGACCCACCCCGCTTAATGTTGAAACGCCTTGCAAGACAAACGTTCACCAGCCATGGCCGTAGCGGCGGGGACCGAAGGGGAAACCATGAACAGCACAAACTTTACGAGGTCTGCGCGAATTTCTTGGATCTGCGCTTGCTCCCCCCTGGCCGCGCAATTTGCCCCGCCCCTGGCGCGCTCCGCGCGCGCCAGGGAAGGAAGCCCAGCGCAGATCCAAGAAATCCTCGGAGCTCCGAAAGTTTATGTTTACGGCATGTTTTCTTTTAAACGAGGAGGGAGGAGGGGGAGGCGGAGGAGGACATGGAGGATGGGGAGAGGGTTCACAAGAGGGTTACGCCCCCTCCTCCGTTTGCCTGCCCTCGGTCTGGGCAAAGGGGCGGAGATTGAGGGGGGGGGCAACAGCCCTTCCTCTACCGACGCAGGTGAACGTCGATTCCCAGGAAAATATGGGAAAATACAGGAAGTGGAGGGGAAGACGAAACTTAGTATTTGAAACATATGGAAAAAGCGATGTCACCCTGAAATTTTCGCGTTGTGCAGAACAATGCACGTCGGAAGGTGTTTGGCCGTTTTCTGTGCCTCCGGCGGCCCTTGCCGGGCTCTGGGGCTGTCAGCAAAATCTTACTCCGCATGAAAAGCCATTTCCCAGGACCGGAACGAACGAAATGTTTTTGTTGTCCAGTCTACTTGCGGGGGTCAAGCTGGAGAAGTCGTGGTACATCCAGGCAGGTCCAAAGAAATCGAGGTAAGTCCAGACACATCTAGACACATCCAGCGATATCCATGTGCGCCTGGAGCAGATCGTGGAAGCTCCAGCGCGAGTCGAGGGATGGGAGGCGCCGTCGAGCCCCCTGACGATTATCGCAGGACTACCGGCGATGTATCGCCTACTCCAGCTCGATGGCTCCCCCGGTGATCGGCACGAACGACCTGCGTACGGAAAGAATTGTCGGGATGCCCACCCGCAGTTCTGGTTGAGTTTCGCCAGGGCTGGTTGTCCGCGCCGCCGCGGGCGTTGTCCACTCGAGACATCAGGCCGCTTGCCCAGCAGCGGCCAGTGTTGGTTTTGGACAGCATTTGTTGTTGGGCATCGTTCCCATTTTTCCGTATCCATCTCGGGTGTCCAAAAAGGAGGGGGGTCTGGATTTGTTGGGGCGACGTTGCAGAAAGCAACACACCGTCGGGGATGTTTGTATTAGGGCATTGAAAAGGGGACGATCAAACCCTTGATGTTTTTCGTCTGTGGCGTGCATCTGGAGGCCTCCAGGAATTTCTAGGGGCATCCGCAGACCGCATCTTTTGCATCATCCTTATATTCCTCCTCTCATTCCCAGGAGTGGAGGGGGAGGTGGAGGTGCAGGGCGTTTAGAACGGTAGGGAGAGGGGGCGGGATGCGGGAGCAAAAGGAACAGGAGGGGATGGGAGAGAGATGGAGCAGGGATGACGGCAGCAGGTGCAGAGGAGGGAGGAGGAAGCGGAAGGATGAGAAGGAGGGGCGTGAAGGGAGCCGAAAGGAAAAGAAGCTTTGGCCCTTCTGATTATTATGGTGCGTCTTCTTCGCGGTTCATTCATCCGTATGCTTCGTCCTCGTCTTCTTCTTTCTCCACCATGCCTCCTCATTTCCGGCCCTGAAACTTTGATAAGCGCATGTGTCCCCGTCGTCGAGAGAGTGCCCCTTGCAGCCTCGCTCCTCACCGCCCGCCAGCCCGCCCGCCTGCCCCGAGGCCTGGGCGAAGCTGGCGTGGCAGGACAAGAGCACCAACCTCTTCAACGGCGTCTTCTGGGAGCCCTCGACTGCGGAGCG